AAGCCCATGAATCCAGGAGGCTCACGTTACTAACTTTGCATATCCTAACAGAACCAAAGATATCAACATAAACAAGGAAAGTTAATTTTATCCATAACCTAAAACTCATGCACTAAAGAAAACAAATACCAACTCATACCTTCGACGCCCTACCTAATTTCTCAAACAAACAAGAACCAACAAGAAAATTGAAACAAAAAATGAAAAAATTAAATTTTCTTAAATTTTATTTGAATCATTCTCCTGGGGCTGGGAGAAGCTCGACCTCGAGATTACATCCTTTAGAGGGCAATCGAATAATTGTTGATGTAGTCCAACCATCCTTCAGAGGCTAATCGAATAATTGGTTATGTAGTCTGACCGTTCTTCTCGATACTTCATCTTTTTAAGTGAGCCAACTTAGCAGACACTTGCAGTGCAAATTGTAGAGGAATTTTGAACTACCGAACTCTGGAATACCAAACTGAATCTTAAATTCTCTTTTGAGCTCAAAGGGTTGCATTTCACATATCACAACTAGTATATTTTCTACTTCATAATCGTCAAAATCTTTTGCACTGAGAGTTACATCTTCATGTTCTTCTTCCTCCGATTCCAATATATAAAATAGATCTTGTAGACCCTGTTATATTATTTTGCTAAAATGCTCAACTAGGTCTTCTTTGAGTCTCATATTTTTTATCCAATCACTCAAATATTTGATCTATATGCTCTATAACTAGATCATCAGTTATTTGTCATCAACACGGATCTCATGGCTCTGATACCAACTGATGCAAAAATAATAATAAATAGAAGAATAAAATAAAATAAAAAGGATTAAGAGATTATACCCTCTCAAAGTCTGCCAAGGAGTCCACCCTAAGATCTTTTCACAAGATCAAACTCTTTCTTTATTCTCCCATAACCTCTCTTCAAAGAGGACCTCTTTTAATACAAGAAACCGAAAAACAAATAGATAAAAAAATCAAAAAAACAAACAAACCTATCCTCCCATACCACCTTTTTCATCCCCCCTTAGCTCTCTCTATCTAACTTCTACATACCACATTTTTTCAACCCTCCTTTGTCTCTCTACCACTTTTCCAATTTCTTCTCTCCCCTACATTTCCCTCTATCTTTTTCTTTTCCATCATGTGAACCTCTCTCTCTCT